CGGTTTTTTTCCTGATGACTGCCCACTGAGTTAATGTCTGTTGAAGCCGAAAAAGGTCGAAAACCAGATGCGTGGCCGAGCTACTGACAGAGTTGCGCGCCAGAGTTGCTAGATATAGAACTCATTTTCAGTGTTTTTCAAGCTCTGTGATTCGGCAGCTTACGTTTGATCCTTCATTTGTGGTGTCACCGTGTCAGGATCTCAGTGCGTGCGCCTTCTTTGCGTCTGAAAAAGGTTCAAGAGGGCAAAAAAAGAGATAACGGGTTTATCTTACCTTCTTTCACAAAGAATGACTCGAGATTCTTCAGAAATATTCACATAGAGTGGAGGGCATAGAAGAATGAAGATGATGATCATGGTTCAATAGAGATCACTTGACACTCGCTTGACCGTTGAATGCTTAGTCATTAACATTGCTGGTCCGAGTGGGTCCAATTTATCCACGTACATACACCCGCGCGCTCGGTGTAAATTGTCATTTCTGAAGATGCTCTGCCATCTTCTCGGCCTCAGCACGCATAGTTAGTAGAATACACAGTAAGTCTGATTCATATTATTAGGATACACAGAAAGCTACTGATACATCGAAATAATTATACGCGATCCGAGGCTTATTAGGATTAATATTACCGTGATATTCAAGTACTGTATGTAGATAGTGGGTGAAACTCTGGCCCTAATCATATCCTGCATCCATCCCGTTGTAATTCTCGCAAATGCCATGGGTTTTACAATCCCTGATGATTCCCCTGCTTTGTCTTTTGGCGACGCTCAACCTCCTGCCTTTCCCACTCAATCAAACTTCGTTGCACCAGATTATCGAATGCCAACATTTCCGACTGAAGCCACGCCGGGTCATAGACGGATTTAGGCTTCTCTAGCGTGTAAGACCCTCTGAGTGAGCGTGATTTCGTGCTGTTTGACGACAGGGAGGACACTCGACGGCGTTCCGGCAGGGCCAACTGCAAGGTCTTCAAGTTCTTTAACTTTTGAGCGTTCTCATCCGTAGGGATGTCGTCTTTGATCCCGAAGAAAAAACTCATTATTGCCGGAAGATTTATAGCCAACAGACAGGCAGCAACCTATTCGGCGGTAAGTAACCTGTGATCAGAACCGGTGTCTCGTAAGTTATTACGGAGCTGGCGCACCTCAAGAACAGCAAGCAAGAACTCCAGTGATACCTGTTCTGCAAGTATAGCCCACGCATGAGCAAAACTAAACGCTGCGCTGAGCATTGTTGCAGTGAATACAGCGCCAAGCTGAACTCCCATTCCCTTGTACCCTTTCCCCCTCCACAACAGGAAAAGCGCGCAGACTATGAGGACTAAGTCGAATATGCAGTCGGCTAACCGGGTCATGCTCAGATGTCAGTCTCTGGAACTCGCTTATAGATGTGAGGGCGTACTGATAAGCTGAATAGCTCCTGTTTGCCTCCTGAGACTGCATTGAACAGCCGCCTCTTTCCAACCCGACTGCACTTCACATGTCCAGAAGATCTGCGCCATGAGGATAGCATATGTGAAGATAGCCATTCCGACCCAGGTTTTGAGGAATGGGCGGAGTTGGCCGACAGACATCCGCGTCAGGGTAAGAAATATTGAAGCTCTGGAGAACCAGATGGTGCTGTAGAAACCGCTGTCGACCATGTAGGACCCAGCGATTCTGGTCGCTCGCGCTTGATCATCTAGGTGATGAGGCATGATATGAGTCCTGCGTTATCTTTCCGACATGAGAAAGGACTTACATGAATTGCCGGTAGAAATAACCACGCCAGCGAGAAAGATGGCGCTCGCGATCATCGCCAATCCAGCCCAAAAGTCGTCCCACCATATCCTTCGATGGCGAAGATGTATTCCCAAGCGAGACAACGTACAAATGACAGCGATAGTTAACCCGAGAAGCGCTGTGACTAGTCAGAGGACCCGGTTGAGCAAATCAGATCGACCTTCCAAGAATCGAATGAAGGCAGCGAGGACATACTTCGAATTTCAGTGAAGTTGGCCATCTGAACCAGTGGGAGAGGATTTCTGTAGCCTCTGAGAGAGGCATTTAAGCCTTATAATGTTGCGATTGAAGGAGAAGGATTTACGCGACATGAGATCGCTTGGAGACCGTTTCATGATCGAAGTGCTCGGAAGTTGGAAATGCGTCAGTTCGTTGTGACCGGCAAATGCCGGTGCCGGTCCGGCACTGGCTGATTTTTCGGGTGCGAAGACCTTAGGCCTTAGGGCCTAGGCTGCTTCTCACCCTAATCATCACGCCATAACGTGGCCGTGGCTCCGTCCTCTTCTCCGAATACTTCGTCGATTTACATGGCCGCCTTCAGCTTTCGAAAGTTCAATCTCTATCATATCAGGAGACGATGCACTGCTCGTTACCGAACCCATTCTTTTGGACAAATTGACCTCAAACGCTTCAACGCCGACGGTACACTCCAAAACTCATCGGTTGTTTCATACCACAATCTGGATCTTGTGCTCTCAAATTCCACGCGAAACCTGTCGCTGTCCTTCTGGTCTTGGGTTAAATCCCTCGCATCCCGTTCAACCTCGACTCCACCGATCGAAGGCATGGTACCATCCATTATAATCCAACAGCCCGAGAGCACATGTATAATAACAACAGCAGTCCTTTCATCTCGTATTGAAGGCGATAGAATTCTCGGAAAGTTCCTCACCAGTTCGACATCCCGTCCCGACGAGCACGCATTCACGAGGTCAGTGTTCGACCAGACCCCTGCTACATCGACATACCGTACACCATGGAAGAAGTATCTGGAGTTTGGATGGGTCACGCTTACCTACCAATGAGCACTTAATGTTAAGTGAAGAGACCCTGACCAGGTATTCAACGCCAGGGCTAAACAACTAATCCGTGGATCGGTGTTAGACACCTCTACGTACGTATACCTCACTGACGGATTTTATACCTTCATTTATCCTGAAATGGATAGGTGTTTCAATATCCTGGCGAGTATGTTGCGATTTTGCTGAGCCCAAATTCCGGACTCCCACAGGTTGTACCGACGTGACCCGGGTCAGGTACATAAATATGGTAAAGTCCATCGGCAGGGCACTTTTCCAAGGATCCGATGATGTACAGGAATAGTTTCTCGTTTCCAAATTGACTGTGATCCTAAGAAGCTCAGATATATAGCGTTCACGAGAACGTGGTGAGCCCAGACGACAGCATCAATATCCCCTCTCCTCCTCCTCGTCAGGATGTCAGACGCTGCGGCCTTCGAAAAGCTCGTCGTAACTCTCTCACATGGATTGGTCACCACTGTAGGTGTTTGGGATTCTAATGACCGGGTGGGATGATTCGTGCTGATGAGAAGTCCGGGTTCGCTCGGTAGCACTTCAACGGTACGTGAGCCTTCTTCCTCATTGGAAGTTCCTGGCAAACTCTGAGATGCCACGATGGATCGGTAGTGGCCGCAACGTGCCTGTTCGTCTATGATTTCTTCCTCAACTTCGACCTGGAGTACACACACATATGGAAATCCCCGCGGTCGTTGTTCAAGATCCTCTTTCTCATCCAGAGATACCTCCCGTTCATTGATACTGTCGTGTTCGTTCAATACTGTAAGTGTTGCCGCTATTCCCGCGCTCTCTATTTCTGTGACTAAGTTGGCCCTGATATGATCCTTACAGATATCGCCGAGTCGACGAGCCGCCGCCCCTGTATCATCATTTACAATGTCGCTACATGTCAGTCTTTATTCTCCGCAACCAACCTTATCTACCGCCTAAATCCGGTTGTTTCAGGGAGTTCGATATGTGGGATTATCCTCTCAGAAAGTACGAGTCTTTCATCACAGGCTAGAACCCTCGTTGATCCAGACGCCCCCCTCACAGTCGTACTGGCCTACCGTTTGTGGGCGGTGTGGTATAGAAACAGACCCGTCATAACGGGTCTGTGTATATTCTTCCTTCTTTGTTGGGTCCCCTCGTTGGTACTATTCGGAAAATTTATCGCGGGAATCAAGTGTGAGTGTTCGAATCCCGTTGCTACTTGGAGACATACGGACCTCGCTCCTAGACATAAGCAACAAGGGCCTTCTCTCTCACCACAAAGGGTGTCTATTTGGACCTTCGAATAACTTTATCTTTCTGTTTTGGGTGTTGATGATGGTGTACGATACTGGTGGGTCTTTCCGACCTTCCGTTTTATTCAAGAATTAACACCAACATGCTCCGACAATCGGTAGGAACTTTCATTATGATGTTAATCCCCGGAATCCGAGCTTGTGAGTGTCTCCCGAGGTCTTTGAAGCTCAGTTTACTCACCTCATGATTAAGACCGAACGGGTGGGCTTCCTAAACTTCTGAGAGCGGTTTATCGCGAAGGTTGGTGTGGAAGCCTATCGTTTCGTCCCACGACATTGTGCTTACCCACAGGCAGGTGTTATCTACTACGCTTTCATTTCCAGTGAGCTCGGCCCCTGAATGGAAGCCACCTCATTTACCAAGATCTTCCCAATAGTTGTTTCCGTTACGAACTTCGTCTTGATATTGACCCTGTCGGTAAGTCAAAGCCGTCATAGGCGAAAGCTTTGCCTGGCTGCTGACGCCAGGTCTTCCAGGGAGATTATGTACACCTTCTCGCTGCGTGAGTCTCTAGTAGTCTCGCGTACGTGCTTTTGGCCTGATGTTGAACGTGTAGGTTTGAACGGGTGCTCCACTCAATCCTCGCCAGCCGTTGTATACTCCATATTCGCGAGATTGCATCTCCGTCAGATGTCCGTTGTGACTTCAAGTGCGACAAAGACACGACAACGGAAGGCCTTGAGCTTTCCGATGTTTCGGGAGGTACCACCGAAGCGGCGTTTTCTACCATCATGACAGTGGAATCCGCAGGCCTAACCACTTCTTCTTCATGACCCCTCACATGGCTGGAGCGTGTATTAGTAGTTGTATTATTGGCTGGGAGTGCCGTTTGCTTTCGATGTATACATACAAGTAGACTTATTGACTGGATTCTAATGGTAAAAACCTAAATGACGAGAGTGGGATTCGAACCCACGCCCCGAAAGACTAGAGAACAGAGAACTCAGCTGAGATTCAGCTTGAATTGCCTAAATCTAGCGCCTTAGACCACTCGGCCATCTCGCCATGAATGCTAAGGGGTAACGGAGGATCCAGAAAGAGGTTACTTCGTATTGGCGGTCAATGAAAGTACTGACACGTGACACTCATCATAATTTCCTTCGTCTTCTAGCCAAAGCTCAAACGAGCTGGTGGGCTCAGTCTGCATGCGAGCCCCAGCGTAGATCCTATTCGAGTGGGTACAACCTGACAGGAAGCGCGCTCACGGGGAACCTCACAGCCAAAAGCCAAATAAGTAACCGAAATTGCCGTCGGCATCATTCGGGCGATCACTGAGAGGCCGGTAAACGTCAGCAGAACCTCCATGGTTGAATCCAAGCTGGCTCTTGCCCTCATCTCAACCTCTCGTCCAAAACCTCTCTACCAGCTATCAGCCACATCCGATGCTTTTCCGTTGAGTCAACATACGGTACATGACACAAGTTGCCTCCGATACAGACGCAAGGCACTCAAGTCATAAAAAAGCTTAGTACAGGCTTTTTTTTTCTGATCTACTATTAGTATCACATTCTTGCCTTGCCGTTTCTCTGAGTTTTCTCGAGGTCACACGCCAATATCTTGCTGCATGCTTCCGATATATAGCCCGCCCTGTAGCCTTGAATTCGGGAGGGAAATCATCCAGAGCTGCATCTGGGATGGAGTCAGCTGTGCTGGCGCACGGAACATGGGTACCTAGCTCTTGCTTCTGAAGATGGCTTTCCGGGCGATCCCTGCCAGGCACCCCGGTGCAAGACCCCACATTGTTGCAAGCAATTCATCTCGACCTCGCGCAATCACATCGCTCCTTCCGGGAGGGCACATATAGGCAGTGGCGAAGCATTCGGGTGCTCTCATACTCAGAGGTTCTGCTTTTTCTGGTTAGTCCTAGCACATGGTTTTGGTTGGAATATGTCGGAAAAGATCCCGGTGCCACCGACTCTGGAGCTGGTCAGATCTGATCTACATATCTATACATAGTACCGACATGCACACAGTATCGCCATGCCACACTACGAACAAGGTAAGATTTGTCCGAGAATTTCTCAATATTCTGATGCTGACCTTGCTTCAACATGATCCTAGCGGACACGTCTGGATGTTTCGTGTTTCTTTTTGTCCAAGTCTGGTGTCCGCAAGGTTGTTCGCTCGGGCCAAACAAACTATCCCGTCACTCCGCCGCATTGCGCACTGGACAGGCGACATCTTGCCATTCCTGTGATAAGTAGCGTCCCATGTGCCAGGCGTGCGCATCCTCGTCCTGCTTTGGAGATAAGAACGAAGGCCATCTGAGACTCGCAATTCACGGGAAGGCAAAGGTTTCAGGCTTATCGGATCCACTTCGATTCTTAAAACTTTCGAAACTCAAAGCGTTCCAGATATCAAAGCCCGACTCGTATAGGAGTTCTCCAGTGCCTTTTTCTGCCCCTCGCGAGCTTCTCGTTGAGTGCGTTCCCATGATCTATCCGGGGATTCCGAAATTGCAAAAGAACCAGCCATGTGAACTTGCTCCAAAATCTACTATCAACATTTGAAAGGACGAACTCCGTCCCCTATCCAGGTGAAGGAGCTTCATTGAGGACCCGCTGTTGTTTTGGCAAGTGAGCCGTGACGCTTCCCGAACCAATGCCTCACACGAGTATGATAGCCATCCATTATTAACATCATCTTACATTCATTCGGAGCGGGATCTGCCATGATGCGGTCAGATACTGCGCTGCCGAGTAGGTCACCTACAAACTCCTTGCTTTCTGGTCGATTTCGTGGACCGACTCCAGATCTTTTCGGTCGGGCTCACTCGATCGAACGGTCTGATGAGCGGACAGATCCGATGGTACGTCTCAGCGGTCCGCTCGAGGAGAGAACCGGGCCTTCGACTGTTTATTTTAGCCACCGCCCGGGCCTCTCGTCGCTCAAATCCGTCCTTCGACACCTTCCATACGTTCCAAGCGTCACCATTGTTGGCCGCCCTGATATATGCTGTAGTGATTCCTGTGCATAGCTCTCGTGGATCATATGGAAATCTCTTACAGGCTCTCACGACATCCCTAATCCCTCTTCTGCTCTCAGTTTGCTAAATGGCGTATCTTCATATTCCCAACGAAAAGGCTCTCAACCACGGCTCCTTAAACCATCTTCCACCGGGAGATGAACATCACTGAGCATCATTGACGGCAGAACAGTTCGCGGACTTTCAATCAGCCATGCCTCGGACCATATGGACCTCGGGGGTAACGGTCACAGGATTCAAATCCCCCGCGTTTTGTAGCTGCCGTCGCTACGTGCACTCCATCCGGAGAAGCTGTGCTCAAGTATTGATTATCGACACCCCCAGCTGCGGGACTCCCTCACGACTCTAAAACCTCAAGCCGCGTCACCCACGGTCTATTTGAGTCTCGGGTGGGTTAATTCCGCTCTGTTCAAGTACCGGTACGACTGAGCTGATAAGAATCGCTTCTAATAATTGATAGAATATTTCGGTACACACACCATCCCATGACTACTTTGCACAATCATGGCTTCCTGATCACTCATCTGTAAGCCGTCCTGTTGTCGGCGATGGTCCCCCGCGATCCATATGGTAAATATGGTGCGCAATGTTGGGTTGTCACTTCTCAGGCCTGCCGAACATCCTTTGGTTTACTGTTTAGGGCCATTTTTACACCTTTTCGGGTCCTGTAGTGCTTGTGGATCGTTGCTGGCCATGTTCAAAAATATTTCGGCTGCCAAGGAGGCGAAACCTCCAGCTTTGCCTACCAAGATCTCTTGAGCTGTCTTAGCATTCGCCTTAGCATTCTCGCTCGAAGGAAGTAGGCACGCAATATGGTATATTTTGGTCCATACGATTCATCAGGCCCTCAGCTTATCTTCGTATTAGATTTGCTTCATCTCGTGTGCATTTGCCAGGTAGGCGCCGAGTTCAATTCAATCAGGTGTGAAGAGTAACACGCGGCTCACTCGCTCACTATAGGACTCGGCGAGCATAAAAAGAGCCAAAAGTGCACCAAATCCTTCAGGATCTCAGTGTCCAGAAATACCTCTCTCAGTCGGCTTTTGGACCTCTGCACTCGAAGAACACAATGGTCGTTTTGAACAAGTTCTTTTCGTCTGTTCTCCTTGCAGTTCTCTACGCGTCGTTCGGCAATGCTGCCCCCTCGACGTCGTCTGCAAGACACACGACACACCGTGTTCGTAGCCTCGGGAGTGGTTTGAAGGTGGAAGCCTTCCACCCTCAATCCGACTACAAGGTACGCACACCATGTTGTCTACAGAATCTCCCGACTGACGCGATCGATTCATCCGCGATAGACCTTTGGAGCCGGTGTCGATCTTCCTCCATCGTTCGCTGAGACTGGCATTGAAGACAAGACCGTGTCGTTCATTGCCTCCCAATTGAACATTGACGCGTCCAACTTGTCCTTTAAGTCCGGCTACACCAATGATGCACACGAAGTCGGCTATGCCAAGCAGATCCATGTACGTTCATCGTGTCCTCGTCGCCCTCTCCGTGTCTCAATACCCTTCTCTTACAGGATGGTATTCCCTTCGTCAATGCTGTTGCCAACGTGGCCTTCAAGGACAAGAAGGCTGTTGCCTTCGGTCAATCGTTTGTTGACATCAGTATGTCCTATTCTTTCTCGTAGTTTTTCCCTTTATTGATCGCGATATCTTCTCACAGGCAAGATCGCTGACTCTAAGCCCACCGTTGACGTCAACACGGTCATCCCCAAGGTTGAGGAAGCCCTTCAAGGCAAGAAGAACGAAATCGAACCCACTCTCGAGTACCTTGCTCTCGAAGATGGTTCGAGCGCGCTCGTCCACGTCTTCCAGGTTCAGAACGAGGAAGTTAACTCGTGGTTTGAGGCATACGTCGATGCTCACTCCGGGGAGCTTCTGTCAGTGACTGACTTCGTTGCTGATGCCACTGTGAGTGATTCGTACTTCGGTCTCGCACGCAATTCTGATCGACGATCCTTTATAGTACCGAGTCCTCCCCATTTGGAAAGAGATCATCACTGAGGGTCTCGAGGTCCTTGCTAACCCCCAGAACACTGCCTCATCCCCCAACGGCTGGCACACCACCACCAGCCCCTTGACAACTGCGTAAGTGTTTTTGAATCTACTTCTTCGAAAAGGTTATCGTATCTGACCTTGATACAGAGGCAACAACGTTGTCTCCTTCAAGGGTTCTCAAACCAACACCACCACGGAGGCCAACTTCCAGGTTACCTACAACCCTGCTCAAGCGGCAACCGTCGCCAATAACGTGGATGCTGGTCGCGTGAATGCCTTCTACCTCATCAACGCATACCACGATGTCCTCTACCAATACGGATTCACCGAGCGCGCATTCAACTTCCAGAACGACAACTTCGGAAAGGGAGGTGCTGGTAACGACAGAGTTATCATGAGTGTTCAGGACTCTTCCGGAACCAACAACGCGAACTTTGCCACTCCCCCTGAGTAGGTTTCTATCCCTTTCGCGTTCAATCCATGTGCTGATGTAGTTCGAATGTTCACAGTGGTCAATCCGGAACCTGCAGGATGTTCATCTGGACTCTGACTAACGTGAGTCTCAATGAACCCATCACCCTCACCTTCTGTTGACTCTGAATTTCAGCCCACCCGTGATGGTGCCATCGAGAACGACATCCCCGTCCACGAGATGACCCACGGTCTCAGTAACAGGTTGACTGGTGGAGGTACCGGACGATGCTTGCAGACTCTCGAGGCCGGAGGTATGGGTGAAGGATGGTCGGATGCTCTTGCCGAGTGCGTGCCTTTCAGGATTGCCTTTACTGAGTTTAAGTTTCTCATGTACCCGCCTTTCACTCAGTTGGTTCTCTCACTCCGACTCCTCCGCGATCACCGACTTCGTTATGGGACAATGGGTCACCAACGACCCCGGAGGAATCCGTACTCAGCCCTACTCCACTTCGGCTACGACCAACAACCTCAGGTACTCGACCATTGCCAGGTTGAACGAAGTTCACAGTACGTTTCCAGTTCTCCTTTTCTTGGAATATAATCTGATGTATTCCCCTTCTAGACATCGGAGAGGTGAGATGAATCCCGAAGTACCCGCCTTCCTTCAGTCTACTAATAGATTCCTTCCTTCCTCCCGCAAATCTATAGGTCTGGTAAGTCCACCAAATCCACAATCTACCGTGATCATCGCGAGCTAAACTCTTTCTCCCCAGGGCCAACATGCTCCACAACGTCTATGCCGCTCTCGTCCAAGCACACGGTTTCTCCGCCAACGCCCGCACCAACGCCAACACCGGCGAAGGAAACGTCGTCTTCCTCCGTCTCCTCGTTGACGCTCTCGCCCTTCAACCTTGCAACCCAACTCTCCCCACCGCTCGTGATGCTTGGATCCAAGCTGATGCCAACAGGTACGCCGGTGCCAACAGGTGCACTTTGTGGAGAGCCTTTGCCAGCAGGGGTCTCGGTGTTGGCGCTGCCAACCACGTCGACTCGACCGCCGTTCCCTCTGGCTGCTAAGTATCTGAAGAGTCACCCACATTCATCTAACGATTCAATCCAACCATCTGGGACTTTGGGTATTTATCGCAGTAGGAAAACAAAAACGCAGATGTATATTATATATACCTATATCAACTTGCACTTTGTGTGTTGTTCAACGACTTTACTGAAGGTTGTCCGAACTTCGAAGAATAAGACTAGAAATGGTACTTAAGATATTGTCCAAATATAAGGATAAGATGGTTTGTGCCTGAGACTTCTCCTTTTCTATCATCGGCATCTCGACCTCTCCCGCGTGTGTTCGAAGGGTGCCTCACGCTGGTTCCGGCACGGGAGGGACGATAAACCAGCCAAGACCGACCAAAAACCTCAGTATGACGACAACTCCGAGCGCCGCTGGCGTTCCCACATATCTAAAGGGTGAACATCAGTCCAAGTGCTGCGCAACGTGAGACAAGGAAACACTTACCGAAGAAGTGTCCCGCCGACAAAGCCGCCCATGATGAGGGAAACGATCGGGAGCGCCTTGTGGTCTCGTAGTCTGCCCACCCGCCACGGGCTGTTCATCATGTCAACCCAAGCTGTCGTCAAAACCACTGTCAACAGAAGAGTCAGGTCCAACTTTTCGCCTTATAAGACGATGCATTCCTTACAGGTTGTGCCGAACTGTGAAGTACCGAGTCTCTTGGCTTGGATACCCTGGACACCCAGGCTGAGTGCGATGAGAACCAAAGAGATAGATGTGTTCATCCACTTGGGTTCGGCGATATCTCTTGCAGGGGGATGGGCGATGATCAAAGTAGCGGCAAGAGTCAACACAAGTTGGACGAGGGTGGAGACTAACATCCACCCTCGCGTCTTCCGAGTCGTGCTGTTGACGATATAGCCCCCCACAAATGCGCCGAGATTGAAGAAGACCAACGAAGCTATGGCGACCCGATCCGATAGAGTGAAGGCGTACGCGAATCGAGATGGATGTTCGGGAGGAATGTCGCTTGATGGTACGGTGAGGCGGGAGAGAGCGAGAGATAACTAATAAGAAGAGACACAGTTTATGTTAGGGCTTGACTAAAAGAACACCGGTTCGGAAAAACGCACCTGAAGGGAATTTCCGGTCTGAAAAGCGGCCCAAATCCGCAGTGTAGCATATGATATAGCATCCCTGAAGAGCAGAAACTCATTTAGCAGCGAAAATAGGTTCAAAAGGTCGAACAAAACTCACAAAAAACCTGTCACAAAATTCAACAAGACGAGTACAGGAACGCAATCCTTTGCATCGAGCTGCTCGCTGAGCTTTGCGCGGATTCTTGAGTTGAGTTTTCTAGAGTTTAAATTTGAGGCACCAGGTAAAAGTGGTGTTGTTTCTTCGTCGTGCTCCTCAAAGGCCATGGGGAAAAGGAATGTCGCGAATGTTGAGGGAAAGAGGACTTGGTCATGACGTTGCAAATGAGAGAGGGGGTAAAAATATCGGTTCGCACTGCCTCCGGGTTAATCATGGCAACCGGATAACCGGGCCAGGTGCCTGTTGGCTATGATTCTGCCAAGTCTTGTATCCCTGCTTACGTCCATCAACATTTCAGTCTCTCTGGATCGATGAGGAAGAACTCACAGTCACCTCCGGCCCCTACCACCCACTGGAGCAACATCAAAAACTTTGAGTTGAAGTGAGAGGTTCATGTCGAGACCCCCAGACCATCATAGCTAGCACCGAAAAACTAATGCATGCTTGGATGATGATTACTGCGACGGGTAGTCGTTCTGAACGTTGGCGGGGAGTAACACAATTTGCTGGCTTGGGCAATAGAGCTCCTTGTTCGGTATGGCTATGGTCCATGGTCAGAATATTCAAGACGGCGGTCGTGTGGAGGTGGACAGTAGGCGGACAGTAGGGGGAAGTTCTTGAATAGTTTGGTAGGCAATGACTTCTTATATATACCGTTTGGCGAAGTCCGGATCTACGCACATAGTCGATCTCGTGTTGTCGAGACTATGTCCCGGCCGAATATCCTCTCCTCCACCCGGGCGTTATTACCCTCGGGAGCCCCAGACTATCTGAATTATCAGTCCGGGATCCCCGATGGATATGGGACTGCGGGCGCCACTACACAACTGGCCCAGCACAGCAATGACTCTCAGGGAAGACTCAGAACTTTGACAGATGGATTCTGTTCTTCGAATTTGGAGACCGAAAGAGTCACTGTCATGATATGAGGTGAACCTTAACGGGCAGTAAAAGCCACTTCGGACTCGGCAATCAGGTTCATCGCACTGCTGCTACGTCTGTCTGCCCCGTTGATCTTTCCGTCGATTCATTCCACAGGATGTGAAGTTGGTCGACAACACATCCCTACTCCAACCACGCGTAGTCATGAATTCATACACCTTGCGGAACGACCGTCACTCAACGAGACTTGGCAGAGTCTGACTTAGTGATCGACGAGGATATGCAGCTGTTGAGATCCTCTCGTTCCAGTACTACCCCAGTCTGGATGTATCCGTACTTGCTCATATGGGCGCTCCGACTAGGAAACTCGAACTTCAAAAGCCTGGAGTTCTGCTCTCCGTTGATGCCGGCGTGAGTCAACGAGCCGCCTGATCGCCCCCGACTCACGGATGATCGCGCTCGCACACAGAGCGTTGACACGACTGGGCCCTGTTCGAGGCAAAGTCACTTTAAAGGAAAGCCGATTGCGCATCGGACAGGCCCAAGCGTAGGACGGTACTAGTGCGCAGTAATAGTCACTGCCTTTGCTCATGGAGGCCCCGTTCACCCTCTCAGCCAAGGAAATCAAACATATGTATAACTAGCCAACTCATTCCTGTGTTCGCACAGCGGCCCGGAGTCGCACTTCCTAATAAACTCAACGCTTCTTCGTACCGCGCCATTCCCACCAAGTAATAATACATCCGACATAAGTATGGCTGGATCTTGAACGACAAACGTTCGACCTTCACTTATGCGTATCGCCCATATGACATTGGACAAGCTTTCTGTATTTATCGAAGCCTGGTGTTCGACGGGAAGGACCAGGGGGGGTTGGTCACTGACCGTTATGGTCGCGCGACTTCGAGAATCTAAATTGCTATCGGTCTATGGCTGCCTATCAACGACCCCAGACAAGGAAGTTATATACTCACGAGAGTGAAAAGTCAATTAACATTCCGATATGCCCTTCAACGCCACGTCAAGCTCCTTCTCTTCCGCTGTGCTTCATCACCCTATGGCCCATGCGAACGCGAAGAGGTTGAATGCAAATAATAGAGGTTTGCATGTACGAGAACGACTTGCCTCTGGAGAGGTACAACAGAGCCTGACCCCCCAAACTCTAGGAGAGTAGCAAGAGCCAAATTCCTCAAACAAAGTCGGAGAAGGGCTACAACAGCCAGAACGAAGCTGGTCAGTATATTCAAGTTCATGTTTTCTTTCGTTGTGTCGACGGGCCGCTCGCAGGGTCTGGTCATCCTGAAGTCAAGAAAGAGCGGAAGCAGTAAGGACTGGGGATTGGGATAATCGGCGTGCATGTACAATACCAGTTGATCAAAATAAAATGACCACCGCAGGGGTCGAACCTGCAATCTCCTGATCTTGAGCGCTCGTAGTCAGACGCGATGCCATTTCGCCAGGCGGCCATGCACATATTAACAAAAGATTACAATAGGATCAGAAAATGATGTGAAAGGATTTCCTTATCAGCTCACCGATTGAGCACGTCTAGCGGGATGGGTACCATCCTGATCAACAACAGGTGAGTACTCTGAACCATCTATAGACCCTACTTCGGTCATTTCATTTTCTCTCTAGCTCTGTCGTAGGTAGTGCCGGAAGTGGGGTAGAACTCAAGATCTGGATTCCGAAACAGCTTCATACTTGGTCTGATTCCCCACACCACGACAGGGACATAATCCATAAACTGAACTGACTGCCAGGCTCCATTGACAGGCTAGATAAAACAGCCCATCCCTAGGCTTACTTCGCTCCGAGTCCGCCCTTCGAGGCTGGAACGAAGTTCGCGCCGCGCCGTACGCCGTACGTCGAGCAAGGTTTGGACTCACTGGGACAAGCTGTCATATCACCCTCCTCTCTATCAACCGATGTCAAATACCTTACGGATAGACAGTTACAGTATTTTGATACGTCAAGGGGAGCGCTGCGGGGATGTATCCTCCTAAAGGTTTAAAAAGGGCGACCTCTCAGTCCCCTAGCTATTGTCGGCAATCCTCAGAATTCCCTCGGTCCTTGCATCTCCTCCGTCTAAAGTTTCCATCAACACAATGCGTTTCGCTCTTGCTGCCGTCCTCGCCACCGTCGCCTTCTCCCTCGCAGGCGCCTCTCCCACTCCCGAGCTCGACAAGAGAGCTAAAAATTGTGCACGATGCCCCGATACGATCGTCTACGCGGGCCTCACGAGGAAGCGTACTCTCGTCAGGCAGAGCTCCGTATCGACCTTTAACACGGTTCAGTGCAAGTGAGTACAGCCAATTTTTTTATTTTCGAGTAACGTGCTCATTCCACAATCTGTACAGCTATGACGATCCCCCCATTTCCAGGTTCTCTCCCTATTGTGCATACAATGTGAGTCGGCAGATTCCGAAACTTGAGGTTCAAGGAATGCTGGAGCTCATGCGACCGCCTAGAACCTTGATGGATCCCTCTTCTCCACGAACGCTGGAGGGGGTTGTCCATCGTCCGTTTCGACGTTTACAACTTCGAATACGAGGTGCCCGACCAAGTTCCCTTGAAAGTGAGTTCTTACCCCCGTATTGGCAACTTCCTTCGTCGCCAGTGGCTCATGCTGATTTCAAAGTTGGAACCCGTAAGACAGGGAAATAAGCCGGTTGAGTCTTGAGATTCTAGTAGTAACATATGTGATATATAGTAGGAGTCTTATTGAGTGTGTTTTCCTCCAAATATCGGGCCTCTTGCTTCTCGTTAGGACTGAGCGGCCATGGTGCCGCAATGGGCTCGCAGTGCATGGCGAAATGGCCGAGTGGTCTAAGGCGCTAGAATCAGGTTATCCGCTTGTTCGGGTCCACCATCTAGTCTTTCGGGGCGTGGGTTCGAATCCCACTTTCGTCATTTTCTAAACCAAAGAGCGGTAGTTCGTCTTTTATTCTGTGACGAGAATAGCTTTTACGCCATCCTGATATGCCACTACTTACTCAGGCGGCAAGACCATCATGTCATACTCTGCCTCTGTTGAATATCTCCCGCTTAGATAGTGGTCATGTATCCTGTCTCCGAAAGGGACCCGGTATTTTGCCGCTCAAGGGAAGCACGCGGGCTTCAGTTAAAGAATAGGTTCATAAGGAGAATTATAACTTCAACATGCTTCCCACTCGGGAAACTCAAAGTTAGTACTAGGTCTACTATGCGGTAAAAGATGGAGGAAGCTGCTGAAATTCCACTGATAGGAGTCAAGTATTAGATACTGGATATTTAGGAGCGACTCACACTTGAGCAAGTTATCGCGTTCAGTTTGAGTACAACTTGTAGATCTTGAAATTGAAGCAAGATTGAAGACTGAGAAGCGCCACATATCACATGACCGTGATTTGTTTGGCTTCCACTTTGAGTGTCCAAACAAACGCACGGACCGAGGATCGAGGCACCTGTCAACGGAAACGTCAAAGCAACAATAAAGGCGTTTCTCATTGTCCTTGTCCTCGATGACAACCCTCTTAAAAACATGCGCTTGCAACCTTATTCTTTCACCCCCACCCCTTCTCTTCAGCGTCTGGCACTCGTTCTCGTTCTTGACGCGCTGGTCGCTCTTTGGAGGCTTGAAGATTGAATTTTGAAGAACGAAGAACGAAACTCTCACAATCTTTAAAGGAGACTCGAGATGGCTACGATTAGGATATTCCAGCTCGCTCTCATCTTTTTGGCAACAGCAGTGCTACAGACCAATGCGCATATAGCTGCCTGGTCAAAGGGTGCGTAACCTCTTCGTCAATGACCGCGAGTGGGGGTCAACTCACGAATCCGATTCTCTAGGAATGTACTGTTTGAATGGAACGACACCCGGTGAAGATAATGGCAATAACAACTCGCCAGTCACACCGCTCTTCAAGTTGAAAAAGAAAGATTGGTGGATGCATCACGTTGATAAGGTGAGCTTTCACATTCGCCCTATTCATCGACATTCTCCTGAACAATTTCTTTTCATAGTGCGACGAATTTCCACCAGCACCAGGCGATTTTCTCGAACTCCCTGCCAACGGCAACTTTACCGTTGAACTTGCCACCAACCGAGCTTTCACGACTTTTAGTAGCGGGGGCAAACAAGCGAAAATATTTCCTGGGCCACTTACCGGAGGAACGAAGAACGATAGAACTGAAGGGCAGGAGGGCAAATTCAAGATAGGACAGAAAGGCGCGGAAGGAGAAGTTCCCGGGTGCATCGTTGATCCCAATTGTTCGTATTCTGCGACCATTGTTTTCGTGAACGAGGAGCTGATACATGGCTTTTAGTGCACACACAGAACGAAAGTATGGCCTCTGGAACTGCCTTTGCGATATCGTATACCTCCGACCTCAAGAAGGTCACACCCGAAAATCTGGTTGTATTCACCGTACTCGAACAGTCAGTTATTTGTTTAAATCTTCATGACCCATCTTCGTCTCCTGACAGCGGTTCCTCCAGTACACCCTTCAGACGCTTGGCGACCTATCAAGTACCAAACCTGCCAGCTTGTCCTCCAGGCGGATGCATCTGTACATGGGGCTGGGTGAGTTGTACAAGTCTGTACGAATCACGCAATGTTGAATCGACCTGTTAGATCCCAAATGGTTGTGGCGAACCTAACATGTACTTCTTTCCATATCGCTGCAACGTCACCGGGACGCCTGGTTCCATGCCTCTCGCCCTCCCTGCACGCCCTGCGAACTGGTGCGACATGAGCCTGCCGCTGACGACCAAACCTGCCAACGCCACCACAACCGGGAAGGATGAAGAGCAGAGGCTTGGGGCATGCTATAAGGGAGCGAAGCAAATGTTGTTTTGGAATCAATTGGAAGGAGATAACATCGAGACGTTGGATGGAGAGCTTGGAGCGAGGCTGGGGAACCCGGGATATAACGATAAGATTGGCTTCAAGAGTGGTGAGTGCAAACTCGTGGATTTTTCTTCCCCTTCTCGTTCTCATCAGAGATGTTTGTATTCATAGGCCCACAAACGGATATCTTTGCTCTGGATAGTGAAGACACCGGGGCTACGCCTCCCGTTTCCTCGACGACGACAAGTTCTGGACGTGCGGACCCGACCTTTTCCCGCGTCGGAGGTGTGCCTGGCACGATTAGCAGCGGATCCTCGTCAGCACCACTCTCGTCATCCTCGACGTTGAGCTCGGCACTGTCATACTCGAGCATTCTACCTACTGCTGTCCCCGTTACTTCTATCTCATCTGTCGCTCCCACGTCTACCATACCACTGTCGGAACCCCCCTCATCTGCTGAGACCCAGACCTCATCTCTATTCACTCTTTCGATGACAACGATTCGCGTCGGCGCCGGAGTTCCCACCACAGTTACAAGTACAGCGGCATCGAGGAGTACCACAATGCCGGCAGTCGAGATCAATGGGGTCGTTGGAGGTTGTAGTGCCCCTTCGCTGCTTGTCATTGGCATTGTTGGTGTGCTGGGAATCTTGGTCACATGTTGATGTTCGTGCCCTTGCGCTCTTGCCTGTGTCACGTTCAGGATTACGGAGAGGTCTGCTCGGGAGAACTATGAATGGTTTACGATCTATCATGATGCACGATTCTTCCTTTCTTTGGACTGTTTGTTGTATTTTGTGAGTTGACTTCCGCGGTCCTCTGAAACGCTGCATAGGTACTGATGTTGACCCGTTCAGGTCAAATATCAAGCCTCTATTATAGTCTCAATCTAATGCCCGGCACTTCAACTTTTTGTATCGATAAACTCCGTTTCCTCCATAATGCACATCCATTCTGCACTCCCGTCTTCCCATGTGTGTCGTTCGGCTTTTGCTCGAATCAATTACATCTCGGCCAGGACGAAGAACCAGAAGGTGTTGGGCGTTTTGCCGTCCTCTGCTTTGGCCCTGGTGAGCCGAAGGTTCGGTTACTCAATAAGGCACCAACAAGGTCTAAAATCTATATATCATCCGGATCTGGGAGTGGCATTTGACAGGCGATTTTCACGTATAAAGTGTGTTGACTAACTACCCTGAGGGCGAGCTGCAGCTGCCATGTCTGATGGCTCCGCCCATCTACATCAGACGCTCACGAGTATTTTCCGTCTCGTAGTGGTGACCCCTGTTCTTATCAACTCGGTGAGTGTTTATCCTCATCTCTATGGGGTTTGTATGTTTGCTCATGTCGTCCTTTTTTCCAATTCTTAGATCCACCTCTTTCTCTACGCCATCTACATCTTCCTTTTTCGTCGAGTTCTGTCCATCCTCAAAGCTCGAGATCCCTCTGCCGACCTCCGCTTTCACCAAATCACTCTTATACTTCTGTTCGTTCTTGCTTCAATTAGCGTGCCTATCTGTCTGGTGGACGATATCGCCAGCATGGCTGATAGTCTTTGGACGTACGAGGGAGTAGAGTTTTCCGCAAGGATGCGGGACGTGATTGATGGCCTAGAGTAAGGTTCAATCTATCCTTTTTTGCAGCAATGTTACTGACATGTGGGTGATTACATTTTAGCATCTGCCGATATTGTATTCTCTTGGTAATGGCGTACGGGATAAACTCTCTTGCTTTCATCTTGTTCTCCTAACATGAACGTTGTGTTTAGGATCGCAGGAGATAGCATTATGGTAGGTCTTTCAACGTTTGCCAAGCTCGTAGGACCACGAGTTGATCGGTTTCTCGACCAGGTTTTTCGGTGTTATGTCCTTTGGGGGTACAAGAAACGGTATGTCGTCGGGCCTCTCATCGGGTTGATCCTTGTCGACCGTGGGTCCTTCCTGTGCTGGCGTCTGCGACATGTCCTTATCACCGCTTTGCTAGTGACAGCTATCGTCACTGGTGTGCTATCCATAAACGCCTCCCGAACCCTCAAACTAGTGGGCAATGGTTGCATGGCCGCTAACGCTGTCTTGAACTTCATACTGGCTACTATGATAGGTAAGTGGCGTATACCCCACTCTAACTGTTGGACTGCCTGGCTGACTAGCAGGTGATCTACTCCAGCCGGACGGTTATTCTGGGTCTTGCGGACACGCAGGGATTGGCTAGAAGAAGCGACAGCTAGACGGTTCAAGAACATCGTGTCTATTATGTATGTGAAGTTTCCCATCCCGATGAATAGAGGGCTCATGGGAAACTATGTCTGCTCATAGACTTGGATCAGGATTCATACTTGTCGCTGCCATGGCCGTAGACGTCGTAGGGAACCTTTTACCGGATGAGTATTATTTTGATTTTGGATCCGTGTTGATCCAGATGGCGGTGCGTTGTGATTTGACTCCTTTCCTTCATTGAGACTTATTACGCGCGCTACTAGGGCATTGCTCCCACACTCATCGTCGTTATAGCAAATACGTATCGGGATGATTCCGGGGCAGGGGCTGATTCATGTGGGCTGGACGAAACCGCTGCGGGAGATCTGGAATCGCGTCCAGAAACGGTGGACCTACAGCTTCGAACGGGTTCGTAACCCTGAAGATCAGAGGCGTGTTGAGTGCTGTTGAGCGATCGCCATCATTTATTCACCATCATGTCGTTGCTGATCGTGTCAGCTAAGCCTTCGACCTTCTAATTAGCGCTGACGCCTTAAAGGTGCGGGATTTATAAGTTCCTCTCTTTGGACTGTCTATTGTATCTTGTGAGTTCTCTCCTGCGTTCCTCTGATCGGGTTGATGAGTCCTGATAGTGATCCATTCAGGTTATATATACCCCACCTCTACTTATAGTTTCAAGATAATGACCGGGTACTCCGACTCTTTTGTATCGATAACCTCTGTCTATGTGATATTTTTTCATTCTATAGCCCATGCCTACCCTGCGGATCAGTCATCAGCTCTGATCGAAGACGGGACTGCTCCTGTCTTCGCTTCAGCGCTGGCGTCCCGGAGTCACTACACGAGGTACCAACGTTGATATTAGGCA